TACATGAGATGAAAGCCCATTAGCCATTACGCTAACTGCTGGTTCCCGAAAGTCTAAGTCTTTTAAAGAAATGATTAGATTTGCCTGAGTCAACTTAAGCCACCCCTGGGGGTATACACCACTTCTCATGCAAACTGGACAGCTGGCTCCTACCTCCCTGTTGACCGTTTACCGACCACCCATGACCACAGCTCAAGGAAGCTTCATTTGGAACAAGTACCAACAATTTCGCTATAGCTCTGGGTCTTTATTTCCTTGTCAGAGGGCACTTGTGCTCACCAGAGAGAACCCCCTCCAGTGGCGTGTGGTCACATCGCAATCCTTTTTTCTCCTTCCCATCAGGGTTTTTTGTTTGTTTTAGAATTATTTAATTTAAAAAAAATTCATTCATTTTAATTTGATCAGAGAGAGAGAAAGCAAGCCATCGAGTCCAGGACTCGAACCACAGTCAGCCAGTGGGAGTGTCCAGCGCCCCCAACCACCATGCCACTTGCTGGCCCCCATCAGAGTTTTAGGCACATACACCTGGTATTTTTTTTTTAAGTAGCAGAGCCTGGGACTCGAATCATAGCCATGTGGGGATCTGGTTTCCGGTGCACTGGGCTTAGACACTGCTATAGGGCCAGCCCTGGTCATTTTTCAAAAGCTCACCAATAATGCGATCCTTCAGAGTAAACAGGAATCATTTCATTCATTTAACAAATACTGGGCACCTACTATGTGCCAGAGGATGAATTAAACAGACCAACATGCTGGGGGGAATATTCTGGCAGGGCCCTGGTCCTCTGGCTTGAAAGGCAGTACACCAAAGCCTGCCTAAAACAGGAAAACGCCTGACATCACAGGAAAGAGGTGATGAGAGGGCAGACTTCTTCGGAGTCAGGGTTAGGGGATACACATCCATTCACGAAGTGCTAGCCCACCCCCCCAAAACTGCAACTTCTACAGGGCAGGCTTCAGATGCCCACTTGGCTTGCTGAAGCTCTGCACCATGCCAGGGGCCCCACCTAGGTGAAGAGACAGAGCAAGAACTCGGAGATGCTGCTGCCTCCAGAACAGAATTTCCGCATGGCCTGTGGCAAGCAGTGCACCTCTCGGATTCCTCACACTGAAGCAGGGAAGGCATTCCTCCAGCCCCTCACCTGAAGCTCAGAGCAGCCTTGCCCAGTTCAGTGATGGTGAAGATGCTTTTTCCTGAGACCTGGGTGAGCACTCAACAACTAAATCAACTTGTTTTGCAGGTTTGGGTCACTGTCCTACCCCTACTTTAGGCCAAGGGCCTGGAGGGTCCTCACCTGTTGGTCTCCTGCCTGAGCTTGCCCAGCTGGAGGCTCAGTTGCTGCTGGTGGAGCTGGTGTGAGTGGGCCTCCTGGACAACAACTGAGCCGGGTCTGCTCCCTCCACATGCAACCTGCACCTCACTGCTGGGCGGGTCTGCTGGGGGATAGTCTTCCACGTCGTCCATGTCCTTGTCTGCCCCTTCAGTCTCAGAAGCAGGCTCAAAGTGGGCTCGGAGCTCTGTGAAAGCACAGAAGAAACATCCAGTTATCAATATAGCATTTCAGGCCAGCCCAGGGCAATGATGGTTAAGGCGGCTGGATTCTACATGGCTGACTGCACAGTTTGAGTTTTGGACCCAGGGGCTTGAAAAACACACCAGATGTGTGTGCGTGGTGCCCCAAATGCCAAAAGGAAAGAAATGAAGGAGAAAGGATGACCATCCCCAATGGAAGGGTGCTTTTCTATTGGGGGTGTGTGTTTCTTCCTCTCTTGGTCTCTCTCTCTCTCTCCCTCCCTCCCTCCAGTGAGCACATGTGTTCACTGGCAAATTAAAAAACAAAGCCTTTCAACAAGGCTGGGGCTTGGGGTAGCTTGTGTACTGGGCAGCAAACAAAGCTGTTTGGCAGCTGGCCCCGCACTGTGCCATCTGGGGGTTCTCAAGCCTAAATGGAGAGGGGACTACCGCTATCTCATGTGGCTCTCTGCAGTGAAAAGATTGTCACTCGGGACCAGCAGTTAGCATAATGGCTATGTTGCTGGACTCCCACGTAGTCGACCATGGTTTGAGTCCCAGACCCGGTGGCTTAAACTCACACCAGGCACGTGTGCGGGCAGGCCCAAGATCCTGAGAGGAGAATGGAGGAGAAGGGAATGCGGCATGGCCCTCCCCCCTGGGGGTGATTTCTTGCTTTGTGTCTCCGTCTCTCTCTGTCTTTCTGGTGAGCGCATGCACCCTATAGCCAAAACCTCTCCTCCTCCCCCCAAAAAAGGTTATCACTCGCAGTTTACAAACAGATAAACTGAAACTTAAAGATGTCAAGTTAGCCAAGGACAGCTTAGAAAAGATACAGCCAGACTTTCCAGCAGGCCTGTGTGCTTGTGCTCCAGACCGTGCCTGCTGGGAGTGGGCCGTGGTAAGCGAGGTCTCACGGGTGCTGCCTGGGCTCCAGGCTGTATCCAGGACAGCAGGCAGAAGATGACCAGCCAGCCACCAAAGCAAACAGAGGAAGTGGCAATGTCAACAGCACAGTTTTAAAGCTTCCCTTCACAGGAAGTCACCAGAGGAGAATCGACCTGATACTGAGTTGCTCTTAACATTTCAAAAAGACAATCTATGGAAGTCAGATTTCTACAGCAACCGCATGATGATTCTAGGAGAGGAAACAGAAATTACATTAGCAACTGGCCAGTGGATGTTCCTGAGGGTGGACTGGAGACCCGAGGACTGGAGGGCCCTTGCCCTCGGGCCCAATGCTCCCTCTCTCTGTAGGTGGTGACTATATGCAGTCACCTGCATATGCCCAGGGGACATGTAAATACAGCGCCAGGAGATGGTCTCAGACTCACAGAAGCTTAGCCCCGGAAGGGGTCAGTGACAGCATTCGCTTAATTGCAGGGAAGTACATAAGCCCAGACAAAGAGAAAGCAATATTTGTTGAATGTAGGGGGATATTTCTGGTCCTTTCCACAGCCCGAAGCTGACCCCGACTGCTTACCTGGGATGAGAATGGTGATCGCAGCCTGTACTGCACGGCGGATGATGTTGTCCATCGCAAACATCCAGTGGGGTCTAATCAGGTGGTTCCTCAAGATTTTATTTACCTAGAAATTACAGAAATCCAGATTTTCAGTCCATTGTGTTTCTACTCTGAAGTAGTATTAGCCATGCTGCCCTGGATTTCCAGCCAGTGGAGGCTCCTTTGAATGGAATCTTCCTCTGGGGTGGCCCTAAGTCATGCTGGAGTCTAGAAGAGGGGTAGGTACAGCGATCAGATCAACCTCACCCACACTCTTCCTTGCTTATTCAATGAGCATTTACTGAGCTCCTAGGAAGTGAGAGTGGGGGCCCAGGAGGGGGCAGGCATGGTCTGAGGCCTGACGGACTGCCATCAGCATGGGCAGACATGTAGCTTAAACCCCACACCTACTCTGCAGGCTGATGCCATGTGTCCCCAGATCCTAGACTCCTGCTCTTTGTGGTCAAATGCCATAGGCCTGTTCCGCCAGATGACGTTTCCTACACCTACATCCTCGGTGTTGAGAAGGAGCTGCCAAAAGTCAGGGTTCAGGTGGAAACAGGTGAGAAGAGATGGGGGCTAGCAAGAAACTGGTAACTGAAGTCCATGGTCTGGCTGTTCTCTAGGGCCCTGGAGCACTTACGGCATCCTGAAATCCGAACAGTACCAGGTGAATCTGATTGATGGACGAGCTGTCAAAGTCCAGGTCCACCTTTAGCTTGGAGATGGTGGATGCCATGACCCTGTGCTCCGGGGAGTGGATGAAGTCCCTCAGGATCCCAATGATCTGCTTGATGTGGCCGATGGAGAGATGCAGCTGCTTCCGAGCTCTGACACCACACACACACACGCACACACACACGTTTTCATTTGTGAGTCACAGAGAGCCAGCAAAGTCAAAGCATGTCATGGTCGTTCATTAATGGAACCGTAGATGCCCCAGGGGAGGCGGAAGGAACTCTGCTCATTCCTGGAATTGCCTCCCTGTCGCCTCTGGCCCCTTCTTCCTGGCAGGCACACCCTCCCAGCCAAGCCCCTCTATGGATGGTCCCACCTTCCTGCTAAGTCCTTGTAAGGGCCATCAGTGGGCCCTGTCCCAAGGCCCAGTTCACAGAGGAGCAGCAGCCTCTTCCTAAAAGGGCTTTTCCCATCGGAAACCAAGCCCTCGCAGTCCACATCCACAACCATCCTCCCTGAAGTGGCTGTTCCCCCAGCTTTCCAGGACAGCTCTAGTGGCCCTACAGTTCGGGGTTATCTCAGCCCGGGGCTCAAAACCGAGATTAAGAGAGAAAGCCGGAGGATGGGAGGCCCTTCAGTCTCCGGGGGCCGGCGCGGTCCGCAGCCGGCGGGCTCCCGTTCCACCAGGGGGCAGCACCGCCCCACAAATGCTCGGAATCCCCGCAGTGTTCCGCAAATTCACGTTTCAGCAGGGTCCCCTCACCCCCCCCCCTTTGTATTTTCTTTTGTTGGGGAAGGAAAGGCATTGGGAAATGCTTATGGTGATGGCTGTAACCATGCAAATGTTCCAGGGTGGCAGGAACCGGGTGCCGATTTGGACACGTCCGGGGCCCTGGACCCGGCGTGGGTGGCGGGGATAAGCAGGGGCCTGTACCTGGGCCACGCACTCCTGCAGGTTGTAAGCCACCTGGTCCTGCTCCTCCCAGAGGATTTTGTGTAGGATGGCGCGGCGCTCGCTGTCCTTGCGCAACAGGAAGAGGCCCGGGTCCCTGTCCTCCGGGGACGAAGCGGCGCTCCGGTCTTCTGAGGCTGAGCTCTCGTCTGGAGGAACACTGTGGACAAACACATGCGACAATCCCCGCGTGTCCTGGGAAGTGTACCACCTTAGTGTGCCATGGGGGAGGGCCATGAGCGAACGGTGATGTCCCGCTGTCCCCACGCAGGAGGAAGGTCGGCACAGGAGAGAGGCAGCGCCTGGTCTAACCCCCAGGATGGGCAGGGGCAGGGGCAGGGGCAGGGGCAGGAGGAGTGCCGGGGCAGGGAGACGCAGGAAAGGAGGAAAAGCCTTTAAGGGAGGAAAAATTAGAGAAAAACAGAAGGGAGGAAGAAGTGAGGGAGGGGCAGGGAGGAGGGGGACAAGCAGGACAGGTGGGAGGAGAGGAGCCAGAAGGAGAGGGGGAATGGGGTTGCAGGGGCAAGAAGAGGGGAGATGGGGAGGGCAAAGGAGGGGGAAGGAGCTGCGAGCAGGAAGTGCCCCCTGCCCTCCTGCTGGGGCGCAGAAAGGAAGCGCCAGCCCTAGCAGCCTCGTGGCTGTGACCTGGGAGTCGCTGTGTCACCCAGGAAGGCCAGCGCCCCTCCCAGACCCACAGTGAGGGCGGACTAGGGCCCGTGCGCACCTGAGGTGGTGGCCGAGCTGGGGCGTGGGCTCCC